GAAAGTACTCTCGTTTATGGACAAGGTTATAACGTCCAAAAATTACAAGACAACGTATGGTTAATCATTGTGTCCGAACCTATTCGTGTTACAATAAACTGCAACTTAATGGACGCAAGAATTATCACCATTGACAAAAACTCGGTGTTAAAACTTCAACCAGATTGTTATGCATTCGTCGGTATAACGAAAGTGCAAACAGAAAGTCGTAATACTTTGAACATTACAGACAACTCTCACCCAGTGCTTATACCATATGACTGTTGTAGCGATATACCCGAAAAACTACAATTGCCCGAATTAAAACCTCTTCAGTTCGACCACCTAAATGTAGAAAATTTGGATATAGCCAACCACAAACTCGAGCAGTATTCCAGAGACCTGGATAAATTAATAAATGAACCCTTCATCACCAAACATATTTCCCTGACGACCTACCTTACCATTGGTGCCGTGATAGGTCTCGTATTCATCTACATCGCCTGGAAATGCAGGAATAAATGCTGCAAGAAATCTGAAGAAACAACCCCTAACGAGATGCTGAAAAGAATCAACACCCTTCTACGAAGAAGACCTCATCTTCGCACAGAAGAAGAAGAGATGCAGGATTTTCCCTAAAAAGTTGGCGAAAACACACCAACTTTTCTTAAAAAGGGGGAGTTGTTATATACGAAAATTATCTAAGAATATTAAATATCAAGCAATATGACACCACAGATAACAACTTCCTCGAAACAAAGCAATCTCATGTAAAGCGCAAGCACAGCAGCAGATTCTAAGAATGCTTGTACTTGCGTTAGCATAAGAAAACCTATAAATATAACTAAAAAACTTAGTCAGTTCAGTTCACAGTAAAATCCAGTCGTATTAAGTCTTTAACGCTGTAACTCATAATCTATTGTTAAAACACTGAAAGTTGTAATCATAATTTAAGTGAAAAATAAAATTTTTTAAAAAGTAAAAAGTGATCTGAGTGATCTAAAATACATACCTACTATTATGATACATTTCAAATATTTTTTAAAACTATTTCAAGTTTTTAATAAAACGCATTTGTTGTTGTTTTTTGAAGTACTGTGTTTAGTTTGTGAATCTGTTTCAATACCTCTGACGTTGGCCACCTGATATGAGGGCGCCAGGCGAGCAAAAAATGTGTGATATGAGAAATATGTATACGAATCAAGAAATATGAGATTTGATAGTAATGCAGTGAAAAAAAATGAATTTTCATGAGAGAATCTAAGAAAACTAACTTTTTTAAGAGTCAAAGTCTCGTTAAAATATCGACCACCACTAAAAGTTACACTCTGTGTTTTCTGATCGGTCGTAACAAAAAAACAATTCAATGACAGCACGATTTCGCATCGGAGAACAGAATATCCTGAAAATTACGAATGAAAAAAGAAAACCAGAATCCCAGATGCAACAGAAGCTGAATAAGCTCCCTGGAACATGCATCCCAACTTGTTTCCTCCGTTCTCCTCCCAGGCCAACATTTTCCTCTCGTATACGGCTTTATTAACTTTCGGAGCAAAAACTGTTTTAATTCCACGGAATGGTACTGACATCTCTATTTCAGCGGCGATGTAAGAGAAAAGCGGAGGATGCTTTAAAAAAGTAGCCGCCCCCGGGAATGCTATTAAAAACATCTGTGAGATATTATTTCCACGTTTCATTACTTTATATGGACGCTGATGAGAGTATTCGTTGAATAATAGATGTCTAATTGAGTCGCTTTCTTAGTACATACGGAGAGCGTCATAAAAAAAGCCTTTTAGAGCTACCTATACGATAGAGGCAAAATAGTAGGCAGTGCGACGGGTAAGGTGTGTGGGGAGAATTATTCCATGGGCGTATCATTTTGAGGGTTCCAAAATCGTCAGTATTTTTTGTTGCCGCTATCAACCTAATTTGCTTAACAATATGCCGTCAACTTTGACAGTCTGTAACTCCGTTGTTTTTCAACGAATCTTGATTGATTTTTTTTTAACTTAAAGCTCTTTTCATAAGCTTTCCGAATATGTAATAATAAAATAATATATATAACTATATCACGCTCGTGCGTTTTGCAACTAAGGCTAAAACAAAAAAATTGGAAGATGCTCGGGATCGTCCAGATTAATAATTAGTTAATTTATTTATAAGGCCATAACTTGTAAACTATTCAACTTACCGATTCCAGATTTCGTGCGAGTTAGACAGTGATAAGGAA